TCTCTACAGTGTAAGCCTGCTGCTGATAAATTCTCAGTGTTTTATAAATCTGAGATTGTCTTTCTTTCATGTTGATTGGATTCTACGTTGATAGTCCCCATCCTCACTCCCAGAATCTTGAGGATGTCATTCCACTGCTTTAGGACCCTATTATTTCTTTTAAGAGACGTTTTTAGTATTTCTGATTGATTTTCCCATATTTTCCACACCACATCACTCCCCACCCTGGCTCCTTTTAAGAATTTCTCTTTATCTATGGTTTTGAGCATTTTGACTCGATTGTACCTAGAAATAGTTTTCTTAGATTTTTAGCCTCCTTGGTGTTTGTTGAGTTTTGGGGATTTGTAGGTTAATATTTTTCTTCAAATTTGGAAAAATTTTAGCTATTATCTCTTAAAATATTATTTCTTCCCCAATTTGTCTCTTGTTCCTAGACACCAATTACATCTCTATTAGACTGCTTGTTATTGTCCTGTGGGTCACCAATACACCTTCTCATCTTTTTTCAGCATTTTCTGTCCGTACTACACTTTATATAGTTTTTGCTTCCTTTTATTCAAATTCACTGACTTTTATTGTACATTATCCAATCTGCTGTTAATTCCATCTACAAATGGATATTGTATATTTCAGTTCTAAAATTTCCACTTGGTTCTCTCTTACAGATTCCATTTTTCTGCCAATATTCCCCATTTGTTAATTCATTGCCTTTTCCTTTAAATTTTAAGCATATTATTATTGTTTTAAGGTCTTTGCTCGCTAAGTCCAAGGTATCTTTTATACCCAAGCCTATTTCTACTTGCCTGTTTTTTCTTTTGGCTGTGGCTCACATTTTCCTCTTTCTCCTCATGTGCCCCTTTACTCCTTTTTGCCCTCCTCCCCCACCCCCTTTCCCTCTGGTAACTACTTATCTATTCTCCTTATCCATGTGTTTGTTTATCTTCCACATACGAGTGAAATCATATGGTGCCTATCTTTTTCTGTCTGGCTTATTTCGCTTAACATAATACCCTCAAGGTCCATCCATGTTGTTGCAAATGGCACTATTTTATCTTTGTTTATGGCTGACTAGTATTCCATTGTGAATGTACACCACATCTTCTTTATCTATTCATCAGTTGATGGGCACTTGGGGTGCTTCCACATCTTGGCTATTGTGAATAATACTTCGATGAACATAGGGGTGCAGAAATCTCTTTGGATCGTGGGTTTCATGTTCTTTGGATAAATACCCAGTAGTGGGATAGCTGGATCATATGGTATTTCTATTTTTAATTTTTTGAGAACTCTCCATACTGTTTTCCATAGTGGCTGCACCAGTTTGCTTTCCCATCAGCAGTGTATGAGTGTTCTCTTTCCTCTGTATCCTCTCCAGCACTTGTTATTTCTTGTGGTGTTAATTATAGCCGTTCTGACAGGTGTGAGGTATTATCTCATCGTAGTTTTGATTTGCATTTCCCTGATAATTAGTCATGTTGAACATCTTTTCATGTGCCTGTTGGCCATTCATATATTTTCTTTGGAAAAATGTCTGTTCATGTCCTCTGCCCATTTTTTGATCAAGTTGTTGGTTTTTTTATTGCTGAGTTGTATGAGTTCTTTATATATTTTGCGATTTAACCCCTTGTCAGATATACGATTTGCAAATATTTTCTCCCAGTTGTTGGGTTGTCTTTCGTTTTTTTCATGGTTTTCTTTGCCTTGCAGAAGCTCTTTAGTCTGATGTAGTCCCATTTGTTTATTTTTTATTTTGTTCCCCTTGCCTGAGTAGACATGCTGTTCGAAAAGATGCTTCTAAGACTGATGTCAAAGAGTGTTCTGCCTGTATTTTCTTCTAGGAGTTTTTTGGTTTCAGGTCTTACATTCAAGTCTTTAATCCATTTTGGGTTAATTTTTGTGTATAGTGCAAGATAATGGTCTACTTTCACTGTTTTGCATGTGGCTGTCCAGTTTTCCCAACATCATTTATAGAAGAGACTTTCCTATCTCCATTGTATGTTCTTGGCTCTTTTGTCAAAGATAAGCTGTCCATAAATGTGTGGGTTTATTTCTGGGCTTTCAATTCTGTTTCATTGATCTATGTGTCTGGTTTTGTGCCAGTACTATGCTGTTTTGATTACTATGACTTTGTACTATATTTTGAAGTTAGGGATTGTGATGCCTCCAGCTTTGTTCTTTTTTCTCAGGATTGTTTTTGTTATTCTGAGTCTTTTGTTGTTCCACATAAAGTTTAAGATTTTTTCTTCTATTCCATGAAGAATGTCATTGGGATTCTGATTGGGATTGCATTGAATCTGTAGATTGCTTTAGGTAATATGGCCATTTCAACTATGTTTATTCTTCCAATTCATGTGCATGGAATCTCTTTCCATTTCTTTATGTTTTCCTTGATTGCTTTCAATAATGTCTTATAGTTTTCAGTGTATGGGTCCTTTACCTCCTTGGTTAAATTTATCCCTAGACATTTTATTCGTTTTGTTGCAATTGTAAATGGGATTGTATTCTTCGACTTCTCTCTCTGCTTGTTTGTTGTTAGTGTATAGAAATGCAAATGATTTTTGTAAGCTGATTTTGTACCCTGCAATTTTGCTGTAGTTGTTGATTATTTTCTAACAGTTTTCTGGCGGGTTCTTTAGGGTTTTCTATATATAGAATCATGTCATCTGCAAACAGTGGAAGTTTTACTTCTTCCTTTCCAATTTGGCTATCTTTTATTTCTTCTTCTTGAATATTGGCAATTCTTATATGACATTCCCAAATCCATTAGCTTAGAGTTCAGTAAAGCTTTGATTGTTTGAAATAGTTTCAAACCTCTTAAGCAGTTTTTGTTTCCATTTTTAAAAAATAGGAATATTGTACTATATAATTTTAAGAGACGTCCAGATTTCCCATTGTTAAAATATATCCCCCCTTCAAATGCAAGACAATGAGTATAAATAAGGAAATGACATGGAGTATTATATAGCATAAGTACTTGGGGAGATTTTTCTAACTATGTGTTCTTGCTCCTTATCTTCACCTCTATGAAGAAAATATCATAATGTAAATTGATTGTAGAAGGTAGTATGCATATTTGGAAAGAAAGAAAGAGAGGGAGGCAAAAGGAAGAGGGAGAAGAGGGAGGAAGGAAAGTACTCTCTGGGTGTTTCTGGAAAACTCTCAACCACTGCCGTTATCAAGAAGAGAAACACTGGAATAGAAGAATGTTGAAATTTTAGGTAACCCGAGAGCACAGGGGCCAAACTAGACAAGCATCAGTAGGCAGGGACCACACAGAGCCAGAGCCAGAGGAGGAACTGGATGGTATGAGAGGGCCAGGAGAGGTCTGGGGAGGGGCAGTGGGTACGCCCGAGGAGAGACAAAGCGAGCCTGGAAGTGCAGACAACATCCACCTCAGACAAGAAGCTCCTTATTCTTCTCTTTTTCCAGGAAAACCAGTGACTCTGACCTCCCAGAGCACAGTCCATCCTTGAACTAAGGAGCGCTATGTGCTGTGATGAAGGAAGCTATGTGCTATGATGAAGGAAGCATGGTTAGCCTTTGGAAGGGTCCATACTCAACTGTCGGGGAGGTGGTGTCAATGCTTTCATTATGAGGCACACAGGCAAATGGGGGATGTCAGAGTCAGGTGTGCAGGTTTGTAAAGGAGCTTAAAATTCTGATATACACAGACTAGATAGACTAACGGGATGAATTATGGAAAAAATAAGTCTCATGGGTTTTGAAATCTGTGCTCAGAAAGAAAAGTTAGATTGTACTCCGTGACCCCATAACACAGAGCCTGTATTTACAAAGGATCACGAGACAGGTCTGGCCTCAACCTAACAATGGCCCTTCTAACAGGTAAAGATGGAACAGCATAAATGAAACCAGGAGACGTTCCGAAATAAAATGGCCACTTGGTGGAAATGTTGGAGAAGGAATTGAAAAATGGAATAAGATCTAGATTCTAAAGAATCTTTCACTTTTATTGGGATTCCATGACTTCATTTCAGAGGCAGAATATCAGTGAGTAAAATCAGCTTGTTCAAATCCTGGGTCCACTGCTCAGCCTAAGACCTCAGGAAATGAGATTACTTTCTGCCTCAGTTTCTTCGTCTATTTAATGGAGCTAATGATAGTACCCATCTCACAGAGTCATGAGCCTCTTTAAATGAGATGGTAAATGTCACATGTTTACTTTGAGCCGAGCACTGTCACCACCAAATGTTCTCTGCAACTACTATTTAGAAACTAATGATGAGTCTGTGAAGCCATCCTTCATCAGCACTGTGCAGGTTCAGACAACGGTGGGAAGATTCGGCAGATATTCCATGAGGTTCTTGTGTGGGTGGACACAGCAAAGTCAAGGACAGAGACCAGAAAATGTGAAACTACAATACAGTCCCCTGCAATGTGTGCTCTGGAAGAGGAGAAAACGTGTCAGTCAGTAATCATTTCAGGAGCGATTGACAAGTCTGTCCCCACGAGCAACAACTATTTGCAAGAGGAGCTGAAGTCAAGAAGTTGCATTTTAAAAATCAGTGTACAAAAGTAGGATCTTGGAAGAAAGTTCTCCTTTAGTGACACTCTTAGAAAGAGAAACCATGTAGCAGAATTCGTAGATAAGGAGAGAGAGGCAGAGAAAGATGAGCTTGTCTGGATATCACAACATATCAGGAGTGGGGGACAAACTAACGTTGGAACTAGAGGCAGTGAGGTATAGTGGGAAAACCACATGATTTGGACAAACGTATTTTCGACTCAGTTCTGCCACTAAGTGTTATTATTTCTCAAGGAAATTGCCAGGAAAATCCTGGCTATCTCGGTTAATCCCTCAGAGTCTTTGTTCCATCCACTTCAGCTTAAAACGGTGCAAGTGAACGGCTCTACGATCACTTTAAACTATAAACCACAACAAATCACCTTAAGTCCCCAATTTTGCAGGAATTTAACTTTTGTGTGGAACAACCTGTAAAATTCCAGCAAAAGAAGTGTGTTTCTTTTTGTCTTTGACATAGATGGTTGGCATTATCCTCGCGACATCACAGGCAAAAAATACGTGCGAAATTGAATCATTCTAGCATGGGAAGGACTAGCCCAAGAGGAGAAAAAAAGGGGAGCTGGATGCTTCTGGATGCTGGGTAAGGAGCCTTCAACACATCCCCTGAAAACTTCACAATTGCCCATAATTAGACAGAAAATAATTTTTGTTTTGTTTACATTTTCCCTTCTCAAATGCATAATCAATTCTATAATTTTGGCTGAACTAACAGTCAAACCTGATTCAAATTTAATTACTGTAAGTAAAAATGCCAGGAAGGAGGACTCTTTCATTTGAAAAAAAAGTTACTAATAGTATAACTTCATTCTTGGCTTCTGTTGTCATTTTCGATATTTGAAGCTATAGCTGTTGAAGGAAACATGCTCTGTCATGATCCTCTCTGTTCTCCTTAATAACTGGGCTCACACCAGTGAGGAGGGCTGGGGGACCCTGAAACGAGGCTCACCGGAGCAGGAGAAGGGAGCCTCACTGAATTCTTCTGGAAACCTTAGGCGATGCATCTTTAGTATGAATTAGAATTGCCCTTGCCGTTTGGGCTCTGGATGGGGCTACCCTTAGAGTGGTGTGACTCATATTTGAGTTCTTGTTTTAACATTTAACAGCTCTGTGTTAATGTGAAAACCGCTTCACCTCTATGCACCTATAATAATTAAACTGCAAAATCAGAATAATAATTCAGACTTCACAGAGTTGTCATGAATATTAAATAAGGATTTACACCAAATGCTTGGATGCCTATAAATCAGCTTATAAAATTAAAATAACACTATTATTTTGCATAAATTAATTTTGTTATTTTGCATAAAGAATAATATGCAAAGAAGCACAATGCCCTGCCTTCATTTCAAACTTCGGTTCAGAGACTTATTTTTTGGTTGATTCCAGAGATTACTGCATACATCTTATTGGAACTTTCTGGAAGTGGGTTCAGTTGATTTTACTTGAGTTTCAACTCTAGGTATGTGATATTAGGAAGGTCACTTAAGTTTCTTAATTTATTCAAATGAAAATGTGGGAATGGGAGCAGGTAATCTGTCAGGTCCTTTCCAGCATTCATTCTTATGATCCTGAAACCCCATAAATCATCTTGATTGTAAATGTCATTTCTCCATTTGCTTTTTCTCAGCTCCACCCTTAGGTCACCCCAAGCTCGACAGTTCTACAAGCTCAGAGGAAGGGAAGGGAGGGTCATGGGAAGAGAAACAGGCCTGGCAGAGGTGAGAGGCCAAGTACTTCTAAGAACTTTGATCCTTGTTGTTACCCTCAATCAACTAACTAGGTCTTTCCATTTGTTCTGAATGTAAGCGAGCCACAAACTTTAGTCAGCACAAACATACAGTATTGAGTTGGCAGGACTGTTCAGAAGGGGGCATCTGTAGAAAAGGAGGGAGGGCGCGTGTAAAGGTATGTTAATAGAAATAAAATGTAGGCAAATGTACAAGTCAAAAGACATGGATGAAGCCACAGAAGTGTGGAATGAATCGCGCAGTTTCAACTGCTGGCAGAGGAGGGGGCCCTCGAACACAGTGGGATCTTAATCAAGTAGCATGAAGGTTTCTCAGTGGCCTAGACATTATCATCTTACCCTTCTGATAACAATATATATAATAAGAGGGGGGTAAAATGGAGGAAACATGAAACATTTCCTTCATGGAAATGGAAGAAACAGCACTGAATGGCAGAGCCACTTGTCACACGGCTGGTTCTACCTCATAGGAGTCTGGAAATTATGCCAGACAAAATATGAGGTTGCAAGGTTTCTATGTTTTGCAGAAAATTCTTAAATTGAAGTTACACGTGGCTAGTAGCAGACCTGCTCTTTACTCTTCAGTTTTCATGGGCACAGGAGTATAATGAATCCTCTGTCTGCCTGTCCGCACGCTCCTGCCTGCTGTAACCAGTGGTCTCAATGCCTGGAGGGACTCCGGCTGAGAACGTGAGAAGGCCCAATCTCATGGTGACCAAGCAGATCTTCTGGAATGACCTAGGGGGCCACTGCATAGATGTTCTCCCCAGCCTTGCTATCACTCCACGATGGTAAGTACTGAACATGTGACATGTACCTTTCTTTTTCCAGAACCGAACTCAACTAGCCCTGGACCCTCAGTTTTGCTGAGAGCAAAATCAAAATCAAAATCAAATCCTCCCTACTCAACCATGAAAGGTAATTCAGTCCCTTTCTGATTTAGAACAATCTCTTTTCATTCTTTGTAATTATTTCTAATCACTAAGTCAAATTCAAGTTTAAAACTTGATCTGTGGGTAAGTTCGGCACACTCCACATTGGTGGCTAGGGTTCAAGGGTTCAGATCCCAAGCATGGACTTATACCACTCATCAGCCATGCTGTGGCCATGACCCACATATAAAACAGAGCAAGATTGGCACAGACATTAGCTCAGGGCTAAACTTCCTCAAGCAAAAAAAGAGGAAGATTGGCAACAGATGTTAACTCAGGGCTAATCTTCCTCAGCAAAAAAAAAAAAAAAAAAAGAGAAGAAGGACCAACTTGGTTTGTTATAAATTCTCTCCATCTCCCACTCTTGATTTGGTCTTTTGGTCCAGAAAATATATCTTATTCCTCTTGGGGAGCTCACTCATCTCACTTTACTAATTAATCCCTGCCTTGACTCTTACTAGTAACAGTTATTCTCTTAACCTGGTCCCTAATTTGGAGCCTTTATATGCACACATGAAAACTAAATTTGATTAATATTTGGTTAAATATTGTTGATATTATATGCCACAATGCCTCTCGACTCTATATTAGAATAAAGTCATATTTTTTCATGAGTATCAAAGGATTAAGATGAGAAAGCAGATAAGAAGGCAGAAAGAAATGAAAGGGAGACCAAATGGGCAGAAGACCTCTTCCTGCCATTTCTAGGTGCACCTGAATTTATTATACCATGATCCTATTTATAGCGTTTTTCTTGGTTCAAATTTTTCACATCAAAAAATAACCATATATATTCATACATGTGCAAGTATTTCTGCAGGATAAATTATTAGAAGTGCATTGCTGGATCAAAGGGCAAGTCCACTTAGAATTTTAATAGATAACGTTGATTTTCTGTCCAAATAGATTGTTTTAATACAGATTCCCACAAGTCACACGGGAGTGCCCATTTTCCACATCCTCACCAGCTCTGTACATTGCTTTAAAATATTTTGCTAATGTAATAAGCAGTGTTACTTTAAGTTGCATTTGTTTAATTATTAGCAGAGTTGATTAGCAGAGTTTGATTTTTTTTTCCATATTTATTGGCCAATTGTATTTCGTCAACTGTGAATTGCTCCCTCACGGTATCTGCTTGTTTCTTTGTCTGTCTTTTTCTTATAAATCTATAGGAATTCTTTATTCTGAATATTAATCTTTGTGCTTTTTGTTGCTGATAAAAATATCTCAGCCATTTGCTTATCTTTTATTTATAATGTTTTTCATTGTATAAATGTTTTGAGGTTTTGTGTGGTAAGATCTTTTTATCTTTTTCTTTATGAAATTCAATTGTTGTATTTTTTTAGGAAAGCCTTTCCTATTCAAAATTATTTCAAGCAAAAATCTTTTTTTTCCTTCTAGAATTGCTACTGTGTTTTGCTTGCTTACTTTTTTAAAGCTTGTATTGAAATCAGTCTAGATTATTTTTGTGTGTGGTGTGACGTATTCTTTCACAGAGATAACCAATTGCCCCCAAAATATTTATATCAATCCATTATTTTTCCTTCTAAGGCAAAATGCAATTCATTTTTTTTTAAGATTGGCACCTGAGCTAACAGCTGTTGCCAATCTTCTTTTTTTTTTTCCTGCTTTTTTCTCCCCAAATCCCCCCAGTACATAGTGGTATATTTTAGTTGTGGGTCCTTCTAGTTGTGGTATGTGGGATGCCCCCTCAACATGGCCTAACGAGCAGTGCCATGTCCGTGCCCAGGATTCGAACGCTGGGCCACTGAAGCGGAGCACGTGAACTTAACCAATTGGCCACGGGGCTGGCGCCTGCAATTCTTCTTGTACATGAAATTCACATCGACACATGGATTTATTCCAGGGCCCCATTGCAGAGAGCTGGAGCAACTTGAAAGGGTAAAGAAATTCAATGGACTAAAACAGCATTTAGCGATTACTTTATTCCACAACATTATTAAAAACAAAAATAGTGTATGCTCCATCTCTTGGAATTCTCTCTTTCCCCTGACTAAATAAATTAAACATCCTTTGAATAACTTAGACCAGCCATAGAAATGGCAGATTTCCTGGAGACAATTCGGCTGTAATGTCCCAACTGCTTAAAGCCCCCGAGATTGAACGAAGAGCACAGGAACATGTACACAGACATCTGAGAAAAGCTGGTGAAATATTTTCATTGGGTTTAGTAAGGCCAGAAAGCCTTTTCTAGCTCAGGTGGGCTGGAGACCAGCATTTCATTGGCTGAGGAGGCATATTTGAGAGTCAACCTTTACGTTCTGGGTCTGCAGGTACGTGCTGAGGCCGGCACTCAGAACAGTGCGCTGAGCTGGCTCATGAACGTGACTTTTAAAAGCGAGGACTTTCTAAACCAGTCCTCTCAGATTTGGCTCTTCTCAATAAAGAATTGAGATGACTGGGTTGTAACCTTCTATGCCATCAAGGTAAGGAATTCTTTGACAGGCACAGATCAATGTACCATTGGAAACATACCCCCTGGAAAAGCAAAAACCAGCCTCCAGTCAGGACACACGCAGTCAACGTGTGTTCCAGGAACAGAGAGCATAAATTCGGTTCCTTGCTTACCACCTACTGAGTCAGGCTTAAAGGGAGTCCTGGATTAACGAGTGCTGTATGGCCAACAGAGGGCTTTTATGTTACAAGATAAACATGTGCTTTTTCAGGTTATAGCACGTTCAGGATATCCTCCCCCTTCAGGGAACACGTCCAGAGAGGATTTGCCGCTTCCTGGTGACTCAGGGGACCACACCAGCATATTTGGACTGTTGATGGTCTCCTGGTGCCTAGGGGAAGACAGGACCATGTGCAAGGGTGAAACGGGGCTGAGTATGAGCAGACCATGTTCAATTGCAGTAGGGTTTCACTCGGTGCGAAGGAAGACATCAGAGCCAATTTGGGAGGCCACAAATTTCCTTCTGCATTCAGGCCAGTCCAGCCAGCGGAGCATGCAGGTGTGTGTCCGTGTGTGGGTGGGTGTGTATGTTGAGTAAGAAAAGTGCAAAAATATTACCTGTAGTGACTTTTGCTCTCCTTTACTCCCACATCCAATCATTCATCTCCTTGGATTGGTGGTGTTACATCCACCCACCCACTAGCCTAGTTCACAGTCAGGGCTGCCCAATACAGAAGCCACGTGAGGCTATTCGAACTTAAGTTTAAATGGATGTGAATTAAATAGAATTAAAAACTCTATTCCTCAGGTACACTGGTTGCATTTCAAATACTCAATAGACGCACGTGGCCTGTGGCTACCATAATGGGCAGCACAGATATAGAACATCTCCATTACTGCAGAAGTGTCTATGGGACTTTCTATCAGTCCTTACATATTTTGTTCTGTATGGTGGGTCCTGCCTTCTGGGAGCCTACAGCCCAGTAGGGAAACAGACAGTAAGCAAGGATTCTCTCAAATGGATCAGCAGTAACAGTTTGTGATCGTGCTACCAAAGGAAGATGCTGGGTGCTTGGAGAGAGTCCAATGTGAGCGAGGTCTAAGTGGAGGCCTAAAGAATGTGTGGAGAAAATGGTTTCCCACTAGAAAGTGTGTTCCTGTGGCACAGGGCATGGTGGAGCGGGGACAAGGGTGTTAAATGTACAGAGGGAGAGAAGGGGCGAGAGCAGTAGGAGGATGGCATTCCAGAATGTCTCCAGGCTGCTCTGCCTCTGCTTTATGTTTTCAAGCCCAAATAGGTTCTGCTTTCTGATCTATCCTGCTCCCTGCTGCATCCTCAGGCTCCCAATCCAAATCAGGTTTTACCCAAGATAATTGAGACTAGGAAACATGAGAACTTTCAATTCCTAAAATTTAAATTAAATTAAAACTGCCATCCTTTGCACATCTAGTGGAAAAAGTCCAGCTCAATTTGCTAACTGCCCCCTGGCTGAGGAAGAAAGGCAGGCAGCACCTGTGTGAACGAATCTCGGGGACCACATATAGAGAACCACGTGACATATAGAGAACGCAGTGACTCGTGGCTACGTGGAGGAAGGAAGAGGAGCATTATGAAAAACCCATTTCTCCCGGGAAAGAGCACGGTGACAGGAGAAAGGAGACCAAATGCAAGTGAAATTAATTAAATAGAATATCTGTAATGCGGCTCTAAAATTAGACCGCGCTGGCAGAGTTTTCATCTGAACATTATTTATGGAATTATTTTATGACTTCCTCCCTAAACAGATGTTTCAAGAACAAAATCGTAAGGGAAAGCCAGCACTTATAACAAAATTTCCAAATAATATGCTAGTTTGCCTAATAAAAAGAATAAACACAAGGGTGGACCTCAATGTCTAATTTTAATAAGCAAATAGGTCAAGTTGGAAAACAGCCACTAACCAAGGTTCCTTCCCAAAGTAGCGGAATGAAATGAACTCTAAGCTAGCCATTCTAATGATAAAAACAAACAAATGATCAAAAGGGGATCTTAAAACAATTCAAACTTTGTTTTAATAATTGTCTTAGGAGTGATTTACACAAGGAAGCATTGAATGAGAAAAGTAAGGAGCAGAGAAGAAAGCATGTGCCATTTTTGAAAAGCAACGAGAAAACCCTTATATAAATATGGAGAAAATTGTGAAAGATAGGTACGAGTTCAGGATAATATGTAAAATACAATTCTATTTTGGTAAAATCAAGGAAACAGAAGTCCTATATGCGTGTTTGTGTAACTGGCTTACCAGCTATTCATTTCTCTTTTACTGTACTTCCCACATTGTATTGTCATCGTCTGTGAAGAGTTGGTCTTTTCCATGAGAACAGGTCTCTACCCTCATCTGTGTACTCCCGGTACACAACTACAATCTCTGGCACGCCTTAGGCATAAGATGAATTGTTGTTGCATAAATGACACCAACCAGACCAAATGACAAGGTTGTGGGAGGATGCATGGGAAGAAGCAGAGAAATACAAGGGTTAAGGGCCAGAGAACCATGACCAGGGTGTTCACTGCGAGGAGAGGTGGTCACAGGAGCTGTGAAAGGTGTTTGCCGGACTCAGATTTGACACCAAAGCCAGCATCAGCTCCATAATTTGCAGAATCTAGTGCAAAATAACATTTCAGCGTCTCTTGTTTAAAAATTATTGAGAAGTTCAAGATGGCGACTGCAGAGCATTAAACCAAGCGTGGGGCCCTGTGCAAGTGCACCATCACACACCTATGAAGCTGGCCCTGACTAAAGGCAGTCAAGAGTCCTTGATGGATTTTAAGCAGAGGCAAGCTGAAAGATCCCTGCAGGTGCATTGTAGACAGTTGTTAGCAGGAGGCCTGGGGAAACTTGGAAGAAAACCGCACTAGCCAAGAAAGATTAGGAGGACCTGAACAAACTCGCCAGAAGTAGAAGTGTTGGAGAGCTGCAGAAGGGTCCGAGAGAAAATTAAGGAGTTAGGAAGCACTATCCTAATTGTGCTGAGAGTGGTGACTGGGGAGGAGAGCTGAGGAACAGGGATGGGACAGCCAGGAAACCTTGCAAGTGTCCGCCTCTGACAACCAGGCAAATCAAGCTGCAGCAGAGCCAGCCGGTGAGGACATCCAACACGCTCTTGAGAATGATGGTAAAACTTTAAAAGTGATAACACGGATGTTGCCGTGAAAGAGTAGAGATGACATACTAATAGGCTCAGAGGAGTCAGACATCATTTCCTTCAAAGAACGTGGGAGAAGAATAGGGATTGTCCCATTGCAAAGCTGATGTTTGTGCCGCATCTCGAAATACTGTTCCTTTCTGTACAAAGGACAGCGGTCAGGAGAGTTCAGATAGACAGTCACGTGCCTGGGTGGGTTAAGGCTCTGTGGAAAGAACTGTTGGTGTTTGGGATCACAGCCCTTCTGTGAGCCAGGTGAGTCCTATTTACAGGTGATATAAAGGAGGCATAAGGAAGCAAGGTGACTTTCCCAAGGTCACAAAGAAAACTAGAAAATAAGGTCACCCCACTCCTTACCAATTGACCACACTTTCTCCTGAAAAAGCCTTCTGTTGTTTAGACTATGTTAATAACCTATTGAACTATCAACATGGCAAATTCAACAGAAGGCAGGGTAGATTCTAGGCGTTAGACCACTAAGGATCTGAAGGGTAAACAGTCAAATGATTGGAGAGGAGCTGGGCTCCAGGGTTAGCTTATTCATAACAACATGCTTCTGGCAAAGACTTGCCTCCTGATTTTTTTGATCAAGCAAATCACAGAGCCAGATTCACCCCACAAGTGCTCACAAATCCGTGGAAGGATTTTTTTGGTTAGGTTATGCCTGAATGCCCAGTATTGTTATGAGAAAGTGCATGTTGGAACATTTGCTTCTTTCTTATTGATGAACAGCTGTGGATGACAGAAACGTAAGACTCAGGAGTTTCTGTCCCTTGGCCCCTTCAGTCCGTTCTGGTTTAAGATGATTACATAGCTATTTTATATAATAAGAGCCAGCCGCATGGGAGAGACAAATGGTTTTATTTCTCAAACCAGCATCATCAAGGATTACTCAAAAGCATTGTCTCATCCGTCTTCGCACGATTTTACTCTCATAATAGCTTGGAAATGGGAAGACATTTTTCACAAGGCTGACTTTTAATTAGTTAGCGATGGAACTGTTAACATTGGTGCATCCTGCAAACGTGGACATTCATTATCTGACCCTTCTGGCCATAGCTGCCCCATAAGTTTCCATTCATCATGGTGATGTCTTGGATAGTTCGGCTCTGCTGTTCCAGAAGCCTTCACAATGGAATCCCACACCCTGGACAGTAAGTGGTCAATGAAACTACTTCCCAGAATCTTTCCAAAGGAGCCACAAAGCCACTGTTCCTGACCATGTAATTTATCATCCAAACACTTCTGTCATATCCTGGAACACTTTTGAAAGTAAAAGAAGGTTTTGTTAATAATTATGTCGTCAATAAACATAAATCAAATCTAAATGAGAAAACCCAGGACGTATGTTCATTCTAACTCTTATCAATGTAATTTCAAAGGTAAGCCAGCAAGCTTTTCCTACAGAGATAAGCACCTTGCATCCTACATAGATATGTGTTCACCAAAGGTAGAAATAAAATGCATCAGTCAACTGACAACTGAATCTTATGTTAGCCTTTTTTCCCTCCATACATTTGAATCAGTTGACTCTCAAAAATAGTCCTGGATGTTCAGAAGACACTGGCATTTTTTCACTTAAAGTTAAGGGCACTTAAATCCCAGGACTAAAGAAATTACTATTGCAAGTGAATACGTTTTACTTTGGCTCACTCCAGTCACTGTGTCTGGAATTATTATTTATTGAATAAATAAATGAGGAGATAAATTAATTTCATGAAAAATACATCTGGTTGCGTCTGATCTTCTCTGAAAGGTGTGTTGAAGAATAAATTGGCAATGATAGCCTATAAGCACTTCAATGTAGCAAAGAGAGAAGACAATGCCCATTTCAACGTTTACTATGTGCCAGGTAGTATTCGAGGCCCTTTATATAAGCTTTCTATTTTAATCCTCAAAACAGTCCTATTAGATATTGTTACCCTCATCTTACAATTGAGAAAACAAAGGTTCAAGTTAGCACAGTAACTAAACAGATCAGTTACATGATGGCCCAAACCATGGGCGTCTGATCCTACAACTCAACTTTTTTCCTTTTCCATCATGGATGATTACAACTCTATATGGATCACCCAAAGGAAAAATCTTAGCATTAATAGAAATTTTTAAATATTTCAAAGTGGGTAAGGGAATTAAAGTTTAGAAGGAGGATAAAAATCAATTAAAATTATATATGTGAATACACAAAACAAAAAACGACTTTCGCATTATGTTAGAGTCTTAAGCACGTGTGTGTCCCAATATTATCAGCCATCTTTATCAAAGAGCATTTATTAAGTGACAGTTTTCACATGCTTTTCTGTGTCACTCACAAAAGGAACTATATAGATTCCTTGTCCTTTCCTTTGGAGAGTGTCATCCTCCGGGTATTAGATCAATGAGAAGAAGTCATTTCCACAGCTCAAGAAATCTACTAATCACTGAATGACGAGATGAGAGGCCATCTGAGGAGAACCAAAATTAAAATGGTCTCAACAGCGTCCCGGTGGATTTCTACAAAATCTTTTAATAAAAGCAGCTGGAATTTCATCCTGGCTCACCCGCTTTCATTATGAGTCCCAAGTACTTCAATCTTATTTTTTTTCTTTTTACTACTAGCGCCAAATAGCAGAGTCTTGAAAATGCTAGGCAGATTGTTTGCTTTTCATTTTGTTCCTTTCTCAGGTTCCTTTTGCAAATGTGTTTTGGGCTCAGCATTCCTTAGACATATTTCTTTGCCCCTAGTTATTGACACGAGTGTTTCCCTGGGACCATGTTTAGCCATGAAGGCCACTTGGCCACTAAGATTTAAGGCATATTGCTGACTTGGAAGCTACCCTGAGCATCGCTGCCCTACTGGTAGGTACCCCAAACTTGGGGGCAAGCCACGTCAGAGGTAGCTGTTGGTTTGAATTGAGGTAAGTCTTGCTCTCATCCTTTCTCCTATAGAAAACAGGCAGCCCTTAAAGCCCAGCCCAATGTCCCCAAAGTGTCCATCTGCCAAGGGCAGTGTCATCCCAGCAGTACTCTTTGCTGATGAAGTCTAGTGGGCACAAGCCTAGGATATCAGCTGGCCCAAAGCTGGTGTCTTTCAACAGACCACGCAGCAAATGGGAAAATAATGGGGCTTGGACCCTCAGCCTTGAATTTCAATTCCAGTTCTATCGTTTGGTAGTAATTAGTATCCTAATTAGCTGGGAAGGCTATTTAGATACATTCAGCTTCTGTTTTCTTGTTTTCTAAAATGGGCTGTTCCTATATAACTAGAAAGACTAACCAAAAAAAGACATTGCTTTAAATACAAAAACCTAACTGCAGACATTTCTAATTTGTGTGGCTGGCAGAATAAGTCTCTGCGGTGTTTAGGAACTGCCTTCATTTGGTCTTGATGAGTCAGCTGGGCTTGATGAAGATGATACCACTTTGGCAGAGCTGCGTGAACTGAGACGTTGGAAAAACCAGATTTCTATGCCCAACAACGCATGAGGAATACTGTGGCTCTGCAGGTTACTCCCGATCAGGGGGAAGGGTTCCATAAACAGAAGAGAGGGATGGAGAGAGTCAATAAGGGGCACCCCCAAGATGTATGGGAGGCAGGGGCAGGCCCAATGGGGAAGCTTATGCACATGGGGTCCTGCACAAAGATGGCCAGCAAGTGGGGGCAGGTTAGACAAGGGGGCCTGGAGTTCTGTTCAAGTCAAGCCAATTATATGCCCTGAATGAATGACTGCCTTCTCCTTCAGGCAATGCCACCTAAGGTAGCCACAGCCCTGGGCAGGGGCCTACAAAGAGACACAGCCATATGACAATTCCCAATCAAATCAAACGTCAAATTTGAAGGTATTTCAAATTTGTGTGCTGTCCTCTTCCTACATTCCTCCCTTCCGTACTCCTTACACCTCCAGTAAATATGTGCCGCTCACAGTGGACTATGTGTTAGCGGGGCTGCAGGGATTACAAGAAGGTAGGTGGTGGCCACCATGGGGTGAAATGTCATGGAAAAAGACAGCAGCTCAAGAAATGGGAAATAATTGTTATCAACTAGGTTCAGAAAGAGAAAGAAAAAGAGAAATAGCTGGAGTAAAAAGATAGATAATATCAGAGCTGCAAGTGACTGAGTTAGGAGAAGAACCACCACCACCCGAACAAAACAAACCAAATCTGTGGAGATATCGAAAAGGGCCCTCGACTCCTGCACCATGAGATGTGCAGCCAACTTTGGGATACGAAAGGGAGGAGGGTGTGAGAGCATCCCGGTGACACTCAAAGAGTGGCCTCTGTATACGTTAGCCTCTCCAGCTTAATGGAAAAACTGGAATAACAGTACGAAATTAGAAGGAAAAAAATCAGGAGCCAAGAGATTACGCACTGGAGGTGTGTCCACTTGCCTTTCCCAGCCCCACGTGTAGCCTGATCACCCTTTTCCTCTCCTTCCATCTCTGACGTCCTTGTGTGTCTGGCAAGGCCAGGCCAGTTGACACAGGAGAATGTCCATGTTCCTGGTGTGAAATACTGAGGCCATGATTCTGAGAAAATGTTCCTCCTTGTAAATACCCTAGGAAACTAAATCAGAGGTTTCTTTTCTCAGTGAGTGGCTTTATTTCCAAGCCTTTTCTGTCTTCAAGAGGTGTGAGTTCACATTTATGGCATGAAACCCAGAATGGTTCTGTGGGCATCCTCTATAGTCAATGCAGGCTTAAGCTCTCTATTGTAAAATTCACGAGACACTGGGGGCCCTTTTGTATTCTCAAAGCACTTCAGATCTGGTTATTGTAAGGAGGCAAGCAACTAAACATTGCATGACTGTGTAAAAATCAAAGGACTATTCTAGATGACAGGAGGGCTGCCACAAGGTTTTTAAATATCATCTCATGTGGCTGAGCTGCTAAAGAGAAATTGCAAAATGTATGTGCCTTATGACACTTAAAGAGATACAGTCAATATCTTTGAAGCAATTTGTTTTTTCAGCTAAGAGAAAATGAAATATTTTCGATTGCCTGGCTCCGTGTGCAGCTGGGACCCATTCCTGACCATGGTCCATTAGTTCCAGCATGCTTGGGCCTGGCTTTGCCTTTCCATCTAGGAGAGGAAGGTACCAAAGAAAAGGCTGATGGGCAGGTTACAGGACACTACTTGCTGTAGTCATTCCATCCTCCGCTTGACTATCCAAAGACCATTAATCTCATCTCAATGGATTTGAAGATTCTAGAATGGTTGGATGATCTGGTAATGAGAGCAGCTGGATAAATACAAAAATATCCCCAAATTGTTTTTTCTTAAGAAGCTCTCTGTTCATCTGAGTTAATCAAAAGGTAGATAGATGGTAATTCAGGCCATGCACCTGCCTTTTAGGCAAAGCAAATGATGTAGATGAAAACTGAAAATAATTGCTCCACAAAGTCAGGGAAGGAGGTGGAGTGGGAGGGAAGGGCAAAAGGAGGGAAGAGAAAGACAGATTAAGTGTAATAAATACACACGGATTAATTTGTCCCTTTAACCCTGACCTCCACTCCACCCCCAAACACACTGGTGACTGTTGGTAGGTGTGACTATGAACACGAGTGTGTCTGTATGAGTCTGTGTGTTTGGGGTATGCATGTTGGGGGAGGGTGAACAGGTCAGAGTGCATTAGATGTGGGGTATTTGGGAGTGTGTATGGGTGTGTAGGGTATGCACCTATGAAGGATGTATGTATGGGTGAATGAATAAGGGGTGTGGGGCTGTGGGCATGGGAAGAAATCAGAAAAGAGAATGTGTGTGGGAGTATGCAGGTGATATGCATAGACTACACATATGGAGTGTTATGTTTGTAGGGTGGTGGGTGTGGGTGTGTGTACATCAGGTGGGAGGTGTGTGCACAAGCTACGTGTATGCCTCTGGGGTACATGTTTAAGGTGGGGTATATGAATAGAGACTGAAGGTGGGTATGGTGGATAAGAGCAGGGTGGCGTGTCTGTGCAATGAAAGTGATGTATGGGACCCTCTGAAAAGCAAACCAAGCCTTCCTTTGCCTCAGCTGCCCTGCCCTGGGCCCCACTGCAGACTGCAGAGTGTCCTTTCACAGAGATGTCCCTGTGTGCTCTCAATAGTCAGTCCCCGGGAACTGCTTCTGAATCCGAGCTACAGTTGGAATTCTACACTGTTTCTCCTTTGCTGGGACTCAGAGGACTGATTTGCTATGATTTATGCGACTATAGACCTTCATTTCCTCCATGGGACTGATGTCCTGAATGTGTTCTTTTCTCCTGGTCCAGGGAGAGAAAAGTATCTCTGGGCCAGAATTTCTCCTGATAAATCATCATCATCATCATCATCATCATCACCATCATCATTGTCGTTATCGTCGTCATCATCATCGTCATCATCATTCCCACGTGTTGCAGAGCACTTGACATTTACTGCGTGTCATCATCTCACTGCACTGCCACGTAATAAATAAGCTAAGGACACACTGTCTTTTTCGAAAGGTTAGATTTGTAGCATAAAATACATAGTTCTATAGCATAAAATTTGCTAACAAATCCATGCAAGTCAAGGAAAAACCTGTCTGAAGAGAGTAAATCCAAAGAGTTCTCATCACAAGGAGAAATTTTTTTTCCCTTTTTCTCTTCTTCTTTCTTTTTATTGTATCTCTATGAGAAGACGGATGTTATCCAAACCTGTGGTCATCATTTCACAATATATGTAACTCAAACCATCATGCTGTACACCTTAAACTTATACAGTGATGCATGTCAATTATTTTCAATAAAACTGGAAAAAAAGAAAGAGAAAAAATTGTCTGAAATCCTAGGCCGAGGAGAACGAGAGATGTGCAAATCGACACACGCTCTCTGTTTCTTGTCCAAAGCCTCAATCCATTCAAGGTCTTGTTTGTTTCTACCCTTCCATGAAAAGTCTTTTAATACAGCTTCAATTTCTTTACCCCTTATACCACCTCCCTCTACTGCAAAATTAATACTCCATAATATTTCTCTGGATGGTTACGTAGATAAATATAACCTTGGTTGTCATTTTCAGAGTGTCAATAGACGCATTGCAAAGCTGCTGATGATAATAATAAGCACACTGTGCCTCCGTGTTTCTGATGGAACCCGGCAGAGAGGAGCTGGTTATAGCGTCTGTCTCAGGGGCACAGCAGACTTTTTCAAAGGCCTCCACATTTCCACTTCACAAACATCCATTCCCAGGAAAGCAAAACAGGAATTTCTCAAGGACAACAAAACAGCAGCAATGAGGTAATTTGCAGACAAAGATATTGCACATGTGCCAAACCTTTGATATTGAAGTCTAAGCTCCACCTATTTAAAGCAGTGTTGCCAATGGCACCTCACAGTTCCACAAAGTATTTTCTCCAAGGAAGGGAGAAAGGAAAATGGCAGCAAGGACTGTAAACTGCCCCTGTTTGTGCAGTGAAATTTTCTCTGACTATAACGGAGTGAAAAGCTGGAAGGTTATTCAAATACACAGGGAACTCGCTTCTTGCTTTTATGGCCCAGTGACTTCGTTATCCTTCTGCATGAGGAATAGGAGTGACAAATGTCCTCAAAATTTGCATCTCCATCATCCAAGCCTCCACTGGGCAGGAGGGAAGCAGCTCCGATGCCTTGAGGCAAATTGTTCATCTGGAGCACTCCATGTGGCTTCTGGACTAAGTCTTTCTGAATGTCAGAAGGCTGCATAGCTATTACAGAGACCCAGATGGCAGATCATGCCACACCTCTCTCCTGGCACTGTCCTGGGGCCGTGTCCAGGGAGGCGCAGATGCTACACCATCGCTAAAGCTGGACTCATCCCCACGATAGGACTGGGGCTAGGAACATTATGATCAGGTTGAGAGGGTAAGATCATTTGATTAAATGCAAGGAACTTGTTGACAGGTTGGAACACTATTTTTCCCTTTGTGGAATTGTTTCAAAGACTGATTTAGACTTCATAGAGTAACAGTAATCAGCTCATTCAGGAATGAGGATACAAACAAAGTGTGGACACGAAATGTGTCAGAGCACACGTGTAAATGCCATCCATCCATGCACTCTGCAAGCATGTGTTGAGAGCCTGCAGTGGCTGAGCATGGGTCTTAGAGTTGGGAATCTGGAGATGTCTATATCAGATCCTGCACACTCAAGAAGCTCAGAGATGGGGGCCGGCCCGGGGGTGCAGCGGTTAATTGCGCACGTTCTGCTTCGGTGGCCCAGGGTACGCTGGTTCAGATCCCGGTTGCCGACATGGCACTGACAGTAGAGGAAGATGGGCACGATGTTAGCTCAGGGCCAGTCTTCCCCGGCGAAAAGAGGAGGATTGGCAGCAGTTAGCTTAGGGCTAATCTTCCTTAAAAGAAAAAAAAGCTCAGAGTCTACAGACAATTCAACCAACAATTAACAGATAGAGAGATCAGTGCTTTAAATGCAGCTAAAGGAACAGAGCAAGGAGGCACTAGGCAGATCCTGGGTCGGGGCAAGGAGGGCCAGAGAGTCTAAGCTCCCTTGAATTCGAGACACAAGAGCTGAGTCATGAACGATGAGCAGGAGCTGTCCAACTAGATGGGGGCAATTCTCCATCTGCAGAATAAGTGGTTCCATAATATCCCTTTACAGGATCTCCAGAGGGAGTAGGGGCGGGAATGATAGGCCAAATGTTTCACACAGGAATCAGTGAGAACCCCGGAAGAAACCTGGCTTCCCAAGGTCACTCTGTAGAATGATTAGCGGATGTCACATCACACACACATCCATCAATTATGTGTTTTGTTCTCTCTTCCTAGAAAACAGAGAGAGAATACTGTGGGAAAAGTAAGGTAGGATTACAGTCTGTTCTTTGAAAAAAAAAAAAAAGGACATTTTTTTGATCTGTTGATGCCGGTCCTGAGGGTGTACAGCTGCATAATTCATATGAGATTTTCCTGGGAAACAAAATCACCTAAAGACTGTGAAATCTTGCATTGCATTGCTTTCCAAAGGATTAAGCACCATCCTGTTTACAGGGGCGTAAATCCCTCGAGGTCGCATTTTGCATCTGTCATTAAACTAGCCACACTGTGCCAGCTGCAGTCCTAAGGAGATACAGACCGACTTCAGATTTAGTGTGGATAACAGTATGTGCATCATCAAACTGGGGCACAGAAACAGAAAAACATCAAACTGCGGTTTCTCTAGAAACCCAGAAATACATGAGGCCCCCATGTCTGCCCTTCAGCAGGACAAATTGGTTATCTAGACTTTTACTCATAGTGACCATATCATACGGGTACCTATTAATCTAAAATATAACATCAATGTTAACTTTCCCTGCTCTTGCACCCAACTAAACCTCCCCACCCGTCGAAGGCCAACTCAAGTCATCAATGACTCTAAAAAGTCTTTAATTCCCTTTTTGCCTAAATCCCTACAACAAATGAAGCATGCCGTGCCCAATTTAGCCCTAACTTATGTTGTCTTCATTGTTGTTGCCTTGCCTATAAAATGGTACCTTGACCTCACAAATGGATTTTAATCCCACTGAGGAAAAAAACTAGACCTTGTAAGGCATCTGTATCTTTCACACTGTAATCAGGGATTTTTTCTCTGCTTTGATTTCTAGAACCCCATTTCTATACGCCTGTTGTATTTCAGCAGCTGAACAGTCTACGAGAACCAAAACCTCAATACATCTAAAATTGAAATCATCTTTCGACAAAAATAAAGTCTTCTTTTTGACTGCCTCTGTTTCTCTTAAGCTCTGACTTTTCCTTGTGTTAACCTGACTGGCAGCCATAGGTGGCATCATCGACTCTTTTTCTCTCTCCTTTCCCATTTCTCACATTCATTCTCTCCTTTCCTTGATTAATGCCCTTGCCTTGGTTCTGACACTTATAATTTCCCTGACTATCTCCTTTTGGCTTTCTCTTCCAAATCCAGTCACCCTTACAACACAGTCAGATCAAACTTCCTGTGGCGTCATATGAACAGAGTCCATCCTGTGACTTCTCACCATCCCCTTCATGAAGTATATAAATTTTTTTACCTAGTGTTCAAAACTCTAGATTCTGACACTCATTTTTCTAGCTGTGAATTTTACTGCTTCTCAGCCCATACCCTTTAGTCTAGCGAGGCTATTTCTGCTACCTGAACTTCCCTTGTGCCTCTCTAGCTCCACACCTTAGCTCCAGCCATTACTTTCCCATCAAATTCTTTTCCAACTATCACAATCTGCCTCTGTCTTCAAGGCATATTAACATGCTACAAACTCTTCATAAATTAACCCATTAAGAATTAGGCATTGTGCAGACTGAGAAAGACAAACATCATGTGATTTCACTCATATATGGAATATAAGCAAACATGTGGACAAAGAAAACAGTTCGGCGGTTACCAGAGGAAGGGGGTGGAGGGTGGGCACAGGGGGTGAAAGGGAGCATGTGTATGGTGACCGACAATAAATAATGTACAACTGAAATTTCACAATGATGTAAACTATTATGAAAATAAAAAATGGAATTAGGCATTGTGTTCTTTACTGAGGGTGTTTTTAATTTAGGTGATTTTATAGTGCACCTGATACATTAAAGGCACTATGCTAAATGTTGGAGGATTAATTTAGAAAGCCCAATTTCCATTTAGTAAGAGTTCTAAAGCACAGAGACATGAAAGGAAGAGATTAATTAATCAATTAATACCAGAAAAAAATGCTCTTGATGTGAAGAAAGTCATGGCTCTGCATACTGAATAACAAGTTAACAAATTTATAAATGACTCATATAAAGCGTGTCCTAGTGAAATTTTGGAATTCCATGGATAACAACTAAAGCATAAAATTTTCAAAGAAATGAATTGAGGCCGCTTAAAAAAATTTACATTTGGCTTTCCATCAGCATCACTAGATAATAATGACAAATCAGAAGCAATGTGTTTGAAGTTTCAAGGGTAAATTCTTGGACCCTAGAATTCCAAAAACAGTCAAACTAACCTATGAGTGCAAGGGTAAAAACTATATATATCAAAAAAGAAAAAATATTTTGGCCCTACAAGAATGCATGTGGCTTATTAACCCAAACCTGCTTTGAATCACTTAAGGATACACTGCAGAAAATGAAAAATTAATTCCATGATAAGGAAGATGAAACCAAAATAAATTATGATTTTTCCTAAATAATAGTTGATACATAATCTTTACCGATTAATAAAAATGAGACTATTATGATAGATTATGACGTGGTAGAGAAAATAAAAGAAATAGCATCCTCACGTTCTTTCAGTGGTCAGAGAAAAATACAATGACTTACTTTAAATGATGATAGAAAATTACGAGCTTTAAAATGTGAATTAATGGGGGGCCAGCCCAATGGCATAGTGGTTAAGTTCATACACTCCACTTCACCGGCCTGAGGTTCACTGTTTCGGATCCTGGGAGCAGACCTATGTATCGCACCACTTATCAAGCCATGCTGTGGTGGCATCCCACATACAAAATAGAGGAAGACTGGCACAGACATCAGCTCAGGGCCAATCTTCCTCAGCAAAAAGAGGAGGATTGGTGGTAGATGTTAGCTCAGGGCTAATCTTCCTCAAAATAAAATAAAATAAAATAAAATAAAATAAAGTGTGCATTAAACATTTAAATATTCCACGTACCAAAAATAGACATTAAACCATATTTCCAAACCAGAAGAGAAAGTTACAACTAAGAAAATTCATTCAATTTCATTATATGTACACATGCACACACATACACACACCACATAAAAGGCCAATAAATGAGAGAAAGGAAACAGGAACACGCAGTATATAAAAAGCATAAAATACGAAGCCAGTAAAAATAAATGTAAATGGTTAAACTTTCTTATTAAAATGTGACTATCAGAATAAGATTTTAAAAGGAATAAATAAAAATCCAGTATTGTGTTATTGAGAGACATATCTAAAATAGAATAACACACAAAGTTTAAAAATTTATATAAAGATGGGAAAGGAGGAACAAAGTAAAATTTTTAAAAAGGAAAATAGATAAGACAAAACTTCATATGAGACAAAAATTATACAACATCAAAAGCAAAAACTGGGGCAAAGAGAGATATTTTCTAATGATAAAATGTAAAATCAAAATAATGTTATAATATTTATTAACTTCAGTAATATAGAAATAAATATTTAAGACAAAAATTTTGGAAAAAAGAGATATCAACAAATTCAGATTTGAAAATTCTTCCCTCAGTAAAAATAGATTAAAAACTATACAAAGTAGAATTATAGGAGAGTTTAATAACTAAACAAAGAAGCTTAATTTAAAAGTGTGTGTGTGTGTGTGTGTGTGCACGTGCATGCATGAGAGAGAGAATTGTTTATAAAACTTTATATCTAACAAATAAAATACGCTCGTTAGTAATACAAATGGACATTCCAAAATCCTGACTGTTAAACCACAAAAAAGAATTTAGAAAGTTCCAAAAGGCTGCATTTACTAGATCCAAAGTTGATAATAAAAAGGAATAACCAAAAATATATCCAGCCATGTAGAAATTAGAAACAAGCAAATGAAAGGAACTTTCAATACGCTCTTTGGTAAAAGAGGAAGACAGGCATAAAATAACACATTTGAAAATGAACAACTGCGAAAGCATTGAATTTATCAACTTGTCAGATGTGGCCAAAGTGTTATTCAAGATAACTAGGGTAACCTTGAACATAGTTCTTATAAAATAAGTAAGACTCAAATAAGTATTACATATTAAACCTAAGTAGCTAGAAAATCAGCACCCAAAGAAAGTAAAAGAAATAAATCAACTATTAAAAATTTAACTTAGGGGGCTGGCTGGGTGGCGCAGTCTTTAAGTTCGCATGTTCCACTTCGGCGGCCTGGGGTTCGCTAGTTCAGATCCCCGGTGTGGACATGGCATTGCTTGTCAAGCCATGCTGTCATAGGCGTCCCACACATAAAGTACAGGAAGATGGGCATGGATGTTAGCTCAGGGCCAGTCTTCCTCAGTGAAAAGAGGAGGATTGGCAGCAGTTAACTCAGGGCTAATCTTCCTCAAAAAAAAAAAAAATTAATGATATAGGAAACAAAACAAACACTTGTTTAATAAAACCTAAGAGCTTGTTCTTTGAAAGTATCCTTCCTCCCTCCAAAAACATGAACAAATCATTGGCACATACGTTAAGTAAAAGAGGGAGAAGATCCAA